ACACACACACACACACACACACACCAGCAGTACGTCCTGCAGAACGGGAGGGGAGGAGGGAAAAAAGGCAGAAGGGCAGCTGCAGCCCTAACGGACCAAACTTCAGTCAAACAAGACCCCACACTTTTATTCCTGTTTTAAACTAGCGATCTTGTGAGCAGCTGCAGCTGTTTGYCTTTATTTTTTTTATGTCAGGCTGTCGCGGAGCGCTCCACCTCTTCTGTCTGAGGCTGGTGAGGTGGACAGCTCAGCCGAGGCTGCTGGAGCTCCAGGTCCTGATCGGAGCCAACATGAGTCAGTCCAAGACTGAGCTGACTTGATCAAGTCTCTCTCTACCTCTGATTAGGAGGGGGGTGAAAAATCCTCCACCTCAGACCGTTCAGAGATGTATCTATCTGCATCGCTGTGGTCACTCTCCATGCAGCATCAATTATGCTAATCCTAGCTGTCACATTCTCTTGTCCTGGCCACACCTGCGCTCTTTAACCCCCACCCCCCACCCACTTTGATGCATTTTTCAAATTTCGCCTTAGGGCGGAGTTATGTTTTCACAGTGGTGGGGGTAAGATACACTTTAAGAGACTCTGCATGCTTAAGGCAGAAAACATGAAATTAGCACCTAAGCCAGGGGTATTCAAMTGGTGGTGCKTGGGCCACATTCTGCCTGYAGGTGACTTCAGTCTGGCCCGCCAAAGAATCATTTTTTAAAGAAATGTCTTTGTTTACTTAATTTAATGTAAAAGTACGTTTCAAATAAATTTTAAACGTAAGATTCAATGTAGTAAAATAAATTTAAAWGAGAGAAGGTAATACTTAGCCTGGTAAAAACCAGACCCTTGTCCTTCACTTTGCTTCGTACGAGGGTCTGGACTCTCGGCTATAGAGAAGTGATTCTTGCTGGAGGCGTGGCCTCTGCTGTTAAAATGATTGGATCGGTTGGCCGCGACATATGCGTGCCAGCTCCACTGTGACGGAGGCTAAGCTAAGAAGCTAACCGGAAAACGCATGCGCTGTAAACAAGCCTGCTGAGAGGAGAGACGTGCCGAGCTGAACGAGACAACTGTAGAGAGCTGCTGCTTTGTCAGACAAATTTAATTTAATTTGGAAGCCTTATCAACACGGACTGGCTTCATTCACTTCATCCACTGTCATTGCTAAACTAACTAGCAGACACTGCGCAGAAAGTCGACGTTCTGTTCTCTGATTGGCCCGAACAAAATTCTCCTGGAGAAATCCTTGTCCACACTCTCCTGCTCAGTGCCTCAGGTCAGCTGATCAGCTGCTCCCGGAGGTGCCGAGGTCCAAACGTAAGCTGAGAGGTGACAGAGCTTTTTGTGTTTCTGGTCCAAGACCATGGAACAGTCTTCCACTTTCTGTCAGACAAACCCATTCACTGTCCGCTTTTAAAACTCTTCTAAAAACACATTTCTACTCCCTGGCTTTTGGCACAGCCTGAGACTTGTTTTTAGTTTTATTCCTAGTTTTATCTTATTTTAAATTGTTTATTGTTTTTAATCTTTGTTTTGTGTTTTTCATGTTTTGAATTTATATGTACAGCGCTTTGTTGCAGCTGTGGTTGTTTTAAAATGCTTTATAAATGTAGTAGTAGTAGTAGCAGTAGTAGAAGTAGAAGTAGAAGTAGAAGTAATCCCAGCCGGAGCAGTGAAGGGAAACTAGAATTGAGCAGAACTGTGTAGGAAGGCAAGGGCCAGGCTAAATGTATGGTTCAATGCAGCAATATAAACGGAAAAGGGAAAAGATAATACTAGACATTGCAGTGTTTCGCCTACCACAGAAATTGGGCAATCCTGGTCCCCGAGGGCCACTGTCCTGCCTGTTTTACTGGTTTCCCTGCTCCAACACACCTCATTCAGTGACTGAATTATCTTTTCTGTTAATCACACAATAATTKAAATTGTGTGTTGGAGCTGGAGAAACCTCTAAAACATGCAGGATACAGATCCCTCGAGGATCAAGACGACCCGCCCTGGCCTACTCTGTAGGGCGGGCAGTCCTGATCCTGCCCGCCCTACAGAGTAGGCCAGGGCGGGCAGTAGGGCGGGTGTTGCCTGTTTTAATCAGGTAACACCCCCAGTCGCCTGGATGACCTCCTGATAAATTAAGTTGAATAGCCCTGCACTAAATTGTTGTCATAACTGAATTTATACTATATAGGACAGGGCTATTCAACTGGCGGAGTGACCAAAGTTTGGCCCGTCAATTGATTCATTCATCTCTTAAGCCCAAACCTCCGGTTTTCTACTTTAATTGCTATAGGTTTTTTTATTTAAACATAATGTTTGGTGTCTACAGAAACATCAGAATTTTGGCTACAAGCTGATAAAACCATTTCTCTGCTCACTCAAGACAGTTAAAACTACAATCAGTTGGAGTAGGGATGCACAATAAATCGGTATTGATATCGGTATCGGCCGATATTGGCAATTTTTTAGGATATCGGTATCAGTCCTGACTTGCGACCTGTCCAGGGTGTACCCCGCCCCTCGCACTGTGACTGCTGGATATGGGCACCAGTGACCCACGCG